ATAAAGCATTAGCAGAAATTAAGAAATAATTGTGTACGTGGTAAAGTATTAATAAGACCAAAATGTATCTTTGAAATTGTATATAAACTAACAGCAATTATATAACTGAATTTTATCTTCATTGTAATGTTGCTATTATAAAAAATGTACTTTAGACACACATTCTAACATGGATTAAAGGATATACCATACCTTCACAGTATAATTGAAATATTTGGCTGACTGCATAAATCGATGGAATCCATCAGTTTCTTTTGTTGCTACAGTTATGACTAATAATTTATCTGCAAAGATAGAAGGAAATAACATAAGAAGGTTTACCAAGAAGTTAAATACTAACACTTTACAACTTACTATAGTGATTAGAGAACTCATTAAACTCATGGGAATGTTCTGGTTTGTTAATCTACATAAGATTAAACAAAAATGCTGCTGAAAAAATAGGCAATTCAAATTGGTTTATTACTGCCAAATGATTAACCATCAAATGAGAAAGTAATTTAACGGTAAAAAAAAAGTGCATTATTGCTTAAGAAAATGAATGTTCTTATTTCAACATCAAGAGCAAATCTTCCATAAAATGCACATTTTGTTAAATCTGTAAAGATTAAGACTCTCCTAGGTATTAGCTGCTCAACCAACCTCACTGTCACCCATAAATCATCCCTGGTTTATGATACATAGTTAAAATGTGTGCAAATTACATTCTTCTAAACACTTGACATATGCAAAAAACAAAAAAGAGCCAATCATAAGTCTGTTCCTAATTCTCTACAATAAATTGTGATAAATTGGGAGAAAATATTTAGAAACACAATCTTAATTTTTTCCTTTAATTCATGATTTTTATATGAAAAGTCCTTAAAGCCACAATAATTACATTATTTATTTATGCAGTGTTTTTTCTTTAACGAATAAGTGGAATCAAAATCATCACTGCCCTAATAAACATACAGCTTTTAACTACCATTCTATAATGATAACACATCTTCTCAGAAGTAGGTAGAGTTAAGTAGTTATTTCAAAATACCTATAGAAGCTACTGAAGATAATGCTTATCAGAAAAAGGCATATTGGAAAATGTATAAAAAAAACAGGTGTATCAGCAAATGCC